TTTTGTTTTGTCAGTTTTTAAAGACAGATGTCCAGTTGATCTTCACAGTAGAAAGCTGTGTTATTAACCAGGTGCTATTGTCCTAGCTGAGATTCAAAAACCACTGGTTCTCTTAAGATTAATTCACAGCAGAAAAGTATACCTAAGATTCTGGCAAATAAACCCAACCTATTCGTGTCAATATTATCACTAGCTTTTTGTTCATTAGCGGGTAGCTAGGAGAGTTTTATTCAATAGACAGTTCATGAAAAAAAAGTGATTCAATTCTAGCCTGTGCAAGTGTGTTTTAAAAGCTCTTTGTGGGCTGCAGATCTGGAGAGAAAGAAGAAAGAATTTGACAGCAAGGAAAAAAGTGGGAAGCAGTTGCTAGGTAACGGAGATATTTTGCACTGACAGCAGTGCTAACATGACATTGACTATGTTACATTTCAAGATAATGGGGTTGCATTTAAAAGCCAGAGGAATACCCAGTCATCTGGGCACGTGTTGTATACAGCCTCTAACATGGAGAGAGAAACCTTTTTCTGCTGTCTGTGGCCATGCAATGGGAATATGTCCTTTAGAAATGCATAGTATGGCATGTTCTGATAGATCAGGTAACATCTGTGTAGTCTTACTTTGCGAAGCCTTATTTAGTAAAGCTTTTTCTAATGCCCAGGAAAATAGAAATACAATGAAGTATCATATGAAATTTAAGGAGTAAGTTATTTCTGAAGTGATAGAACAGTCTCACAAAGATAATGCTTACTTCTGTTAATTATATTTACTCACTTACTGTCTTTGTACTTTTTTTTCCAGAAAGGAGGCAAAAGTAATATTCTAATCATTAATCTGCATTCATCATAGGAAAAAAAAAAATCAGATAAAAATACTTTGCATTTGTTCCTGCTCCTTTTTCTCTAACGAGGTAGTGACCAGGGACAACAAGTTTTTCTGCACATCTCAGAAATTAGGATTGTTCTGTCTGGTTTGCTTGCTGTAACATAAATTTGAAGAGGGAAATAGAAATACAAACTCTTTGCAATACATTTGTATATGTCTTATGAGATGCTTTGACTGTTCCATATTTAGATTCAAAGGTTATTCAATATGAACTTACATAGTTCAGGAAAACATTAATGCAATTGCTACCTAGTAAATATTGCTCAGAGTAAAGTCTTTTTAAAAATGTATGTATACCACATACATTAGTATAGCATTTGCAGCCTGTATTCTTCTCTGGAGTGCAAATGACCAAACCTGAAATTCAGCGTTTGTGTTTAAGTTTGTTTTGAAATCGCTTGAAGACTGAGAAAGAAATTTAAGAAATAAAACCACAGTTTCTGGACTGTAAACCAGAGCAGATTTCTCTTTCAAGTCAGAGCGCTGATGTAGCACTTTTTCCTCTTGCACTGATAGACTAAAAGATTTCGCTCGGCTTTAACATGCTATATATGTGGTTGAACATGAAGAATTAGTTGCAACGTTTCCAATGTCACCATGGCAAATGTGAATCTGAATTAGTTGTTCACTGGTCAGATGAAAGGAAAAAAGAAATCTCTGCCAAGACAGAGTTGCTTTCATTCCTTTAGCAACTCTTCTATTCAGAAAACAAATAAGTGCTATCAGACCACAATTTTGGTTAGGTCATTATAAAAGAGATAGGGTGTTACCTGTGTACGTACAATGGGGAGAAGGCAAGGCAAGGAAAAGGAATCAATTTCCACCTTTCACTCCGTGTCACACTGTTGCTGCTCCATGTTGTTACTGTCAGTAGGGCAAGAATGATAAAAAAATTGATTTTAATGTCATAGCTTGATATGCAGAGCAAAGACATTCATTCTCTGCCTATTTTTTAAGTGCCATGTAAAAATATATCTCCTAAATTTTCTTCAAAACAAATGTCTCTTAATTCCAGGGAGTGTTACTTTCAGGCTTTGAAATGTCCATATAATACCCACTAGGATTCAGTTCTACAGTGCCACAGGTTAAGGGTAACTTTTTTCTGATTCCAGCTCCTTGTGGAACTGTAATATCCTCAGTAATGTGGCCTTGTTGTTTTTCAAATTCTAACACAACTCAAAGTGAATACCAGTGTTAGACACTTTATAACACCTTTTTTAAAAATGCATTCTCATTTATAAAACATGAATTTTTGTATTCACAGTCATGAATACATGGAGGTTTCAGGGAACTTATGAAAATTTAAAGTTACCAACTCTGAAGCCAGAAAGATTACTATCATCCCATGTATTTTTTACATCTAGCTTGAGATTTCCATTAGGAAACTGTCTTCCAGCTTTAGAGAGATTGAAATCAGACCTCTTGAAGGCAGGACTGCACCCCTCACTGGTAGGATGTGGACTTCGACAGTGGAAACTAGCAGAAGAAGTGGTGGTGGGAAGAGAAGCAGGATACAGAAAGAGTTTTGGGATCCACAGAAAAGTTGGGGGAACCTCTGGTAAGGCAGAGAATATGGCAGGAGAAGAGAGATGTGAGTACCAGGTAGTAGGCTCTTTCTGCCTTGGGCTTTTCGTCCATCTGGATAGGGAAACGGGTCATTGAGCAGCCCTTGGAACCTGGTAGAAGAACTAGAGAAATATTACTGTGTTTCAAGCAGAATATGAATTAAAAAATAGGAAAAAAGAAAAGGCAAATGAAGTAAGAAATATTTTTTCAGCTATTTAAACAACTAGTTTTTCAACTACAGACAGAATAATTGATGAATTATATATTTGGTATGAAATGTTTATGAAAAATAGCATTAGATAGACACAACTAATAAATTATAATTAGTAAATATAATATTTCAAGTTAATTTTACATATTCCAATTGTATTAGTTGAATACTAAAAAAATAATATAAAATATGATGATAACTTATGTACTGCCATGAATCTGAAGCTTTATGAGGATGTTTTCCAGGAATTATGTAGCTCATTTTGGAAAGCAAGCTTTATGATTAAAGATTTTATGTACATCATTGAAAAATAGTACCAACATTTAATGAGTAGCAAAAGGATTTTGGATTCCACTGTATGTTTTCACTGCATTCTGTCATTCTGGTGTATGAAAATAGCTGAAACAGTCATGAAAATTTGTAGTAATTTTCACTTTTATCACTGCCACTGAGATGGTTTAAACTTCATTTTGCATCAGGTGAGGAACAGGCACAGTCAGTTACTGCAGCTCAGCTATTGATTACATAGTCACACCCTATTGGAAATGTCCATTTAAGCTGTAACATTCATCTTTGGGAACAGAAACTGTTGATTTTTTTTCACTCTTATAGTGCTGAAGGACTAGAGGGAAATTAAGAAATCAGAAATTTGTCTAAATAATTGAGGATTCTTTCTAATCTTGAACATTTGAATATTTCTTATATTTTTAACACTCTTCAACTCACTTTTCTTTTGCTCCTTTGAGCACTTCCCACTTGTCTTTTCTGTTCTGTTAAGGCTAGCAATGTTTTATGTACCGTAAAACTATAGTCACCCAAGAACTTTCAAATAATTCATATGAATATGTAAAATACATTTTCAATTTTTGTTTCTTTTAATAAAGCTGGAGTATGTGAAGAGGACCAAAAATCTCAAACTACTACTTAAGCAACTATATTTTCATTTGTTAGGCTGAATAGTTGTCTTTTTACTGTTCATTTCCTAAATATGTATTTGATCTTTAGGTTTTGTTAGCTTTGAAGTTTAGTGAAGATGCTATATTATAGTTTTGCTAAGTAATTTTCATTTAGTAAAGTCTAAGCCGTTCTTGGTATGTAGTGAGTCTATTTGCAGAATTTCACTTCCATCAGAAGCAATGGGAAATGAAGTAGGTAAGGAAGAGTAATATTTATTAGACTAAGGTATCACTGGAAAAGGTATGAAAGCATAGGACATACACAACCTTGTCAGGGATCTCCTGTATTTGTCAAGGGTGTGAAAACACTTATACATATGTGAAAGGTTGATTTTTGGTTTCCTTTCTTTTCCAGCTACACCTGTTGGTCTAATAGAATGTCCTGATTTTGCCTACAAACATTGCCGATAATCTTAAACATCCTTGGATCACCAGCTGGAACAGCATTACTGCGTTGTAGCTGGAACAAGGGTAGAAACATATTCTGAGTGTTGACTGATTAGCCGGGTTGTGAAGTCATCTAATGCGAGGTGCCCAGTGAAGTTGTGTAGGTTAGGAGAGGAGTTGGCATGGGCTCCCTTCCTAGTCAGAAGAGGGAGAGTCGCCTAGACACAGCACTGAAGATCGCCTTATGTCTCATTTGCCTTTAACCATCAGGAGACTGGCAACTACATTGCCAGCTTAGGTTGTCTATAGCTACACTGAGTCAGAGCATTCAAACAGTAAATATGTCTTCAGAGGTATTAAATGACTGTTAATTAATGATAATATATATTTAGTAATTACCATATAATAATTGATTAGATCATAGACATACTTGGAACAGAATAGGTCATCTATGAAACGGGTACAAACACAGCAGTCTTTTCTGCTTATGAGAGTGTATCTTGTTTATGACTTTTTGTAAAGCTCAAACTGCATGATATAAAAAAATCTTAAGTATGTGTGCCTGAAGGCAATGCTGCAAGCTATTTTTTCAATGAATTTGTTGCATTCAATTAGTATGAACAAATTAGTTATCTTCTATGGAGTGGAATAAAAATGCCTGCAAATGTGTTTTTCCTTATTTGTAATAGATGCTTGTGAAAAACATCTTGGTTTTATGCCTAATGTGGTCTTCAGACTAGTTTGTGTGTATTCCATAAAATTACAGGCAAACTGTGGAACAGCACTATCGCATTTAAAGTTTGACACCTATTTTCATGGGTTAAGTCTGCCTATAGTTAGGTTTAAATGTTTACTTCACAGTATGTCTCATGAAAGGATGCAACACACATGCCTGCACCTGGACTGGCAGGACATACAATAGTGCATATGGCAGATTATATAATCTTTAAAGATTGATAGAAATTATGTTACTGCACATATTTTGATTTTTCTTCTAGGTAAGGGAACGACTGAGGGTTTCTTTAGAAAGAGTCTCTGCACTGGAAGAAGAACTAGCTGCTGCTAACCAGGAGGTAACATAAAACACTTTCTCCCCTTTTGAGGTTCAATTTCTTTAACACTCTGTCCCATGTGTTCCCTGTCACATTTCTTAAAGCTGTCAGGAAAAAAAGAAAAGATAAATTACATTGAGTAAGCTGCTCAGTGAGCCTTGTTTAAGGTGGTTGTAAGATTAATACAACCTTCTGTTTACTGATTTATTCCCTTCTTCTGTTCCCTTGTGAGCAAGCCAGCATCCAAGAGCTAGTGACAGATTCCCAGATTACTTATTGTACATGAAAAAGAAATGACCCAATGAATACGTCAGATACTATTAACAATTTCATAACCTGACTTTTGATTTTACTGTAAAATTAAGTAAAACACACATATATACACATCATGTAAATGTTAACATGGATGGATTATGGATGACCTTGAAACTTAAGTTTTTCTCTTCACTTTTAATTACAGTGTATCAGGGTGAACTGTGGTGCCATATAACTATTGTGAACTTGGACAAGAGATTTTTTTTGCGTATGTTAGTTTGAAGACTGTTCCCTTTTGTTTGAAAGGGGGAACAGCACCACAAAACTCTATTGTGCACACAACTGTACACATGTATAGAAAGGAATTTTGCACCCCAGAGACACAATTCTGAGGCCAGAAAACAGAAATACTGGTTACTTTACCATTCCCATCATGTTCTGAATCTCCACCTGATGAGTGCTTCTCATACTGTTAAAAATAAGTCAGACAAGTAATAGAGTTGGATTAAGTTATTTTGGGTTATGTCCATTTTCTGGTGTCATTTTACTCAGGCTTGAGACAGAAAGTGAAAACAGCCAAAGACAACCTTAGAGTGCTACCAAATAATTCTGGAAAAACAGAACACCTGTAATTCAGAATAATGTGTGATAATGTAAAACAGAGAATCCTCAAGTAACTTTTTACCAATATTAAGCTAAAAAAGTTACTTAAATTCTTAAAAATTGGTTCTGCAATTAAGATATTAGCATTTCCTTTTTATAAACTATGAACTAGATATTTTGAATCATCAGTTTCTTCTCTGAAGTAACTGGACTTTATCTGTACATAAGTAAAATCCCTCTTTTCTTCTATTTAATAATGTCCAGAATACTTGGGTTTAAATTACACTATGTTGTGTAATCTGTTATTTGCACTAGTGTTTGTTAAGAAGGAAACAATCCTTTTGGTCAGTCAAGCAAACTGACATGCGCTCGTTCTTAATCCAATTCAATCCAAATTCACTTCATTGTGCATGGGACCAGGACTGGAGAGCATTGCCTTGTTATCTGGAGTTTTAAAATTAGTGGAACTTGTATTCACAATAAGTGGAAACATACACAATGAAATTGAATAGAAATAGGGCTTCATAGTCTTTCTTGACCCAAATCCTTAGAAATGTTGACTTTTATCTACATGATAGCAAAAACATTTAAAAGGACATTTATTCAACCAAGAATAACATGACCATTAACACAGTCTGAATACTGCTATTCCCGTTTCCTGTGAGGAACTGTTAAAGCTGAAAAATGGAAATTCAATTAAAAAATAATGAAAAGAGATATATGGGAAGAAATGTAGAAGAGAATGAGTGGATTATTTTCAAACAGATAATGCATTTGAACAAGAGTTCAGATAATGTTCACACAATTAGTTATTTAAAATAGACAAAATTAATTAGAGATCTGCTATATTTAAGCCTGGTTTTATACTAGATTCCACAGTAAATACACAGGCAATGGAGGGCTTTAAAAATATATTGTACTATATATGAAAATAAATGGGCCACGTTTCCAAGGGAATTGAATAGATGTTTTTCAGTAATTTCTGTATTCCTGTCACTCAGTGTCTGTTCTCCCAAGAGAATGCATATTTTCTTTCATAACCATTTTCTCTTACTGATTGTAAGAGTGTACTACATCTTCAGGACTATATCTAAACTTTAAATGATGATAGTAAATTGGTCCCCTGACTAAACAAGTATATGACTAGGTATATAATATGTATCAGATTCACAAATACAAAATAGTAGAAATATGTAAGTTAACACCTTTCTCAGAAAGCTTATGGCTGTGGCTCTGACACAGAGCAACAGTGAGAAACTGCAGAGAATTATGAGTATTTATTGGAAATATCTCTATGTGGAAGAGGACAGCTGGGAGACTGTAGCTTTCCATCATTAGATGGTAAATAAACTCTCATTTAACAGTCTTCGTAGCATATTACATACATACCAAAGGGAATGAAAACATCTGTAACTCTGGCAAAGCTGAATTTGGCCCTAGTTGCCAACAGTCTTACAAAGCACTGCCTATTTGATAGGGAACAGTAACACACATTGCCTTTAAACTGGAGGGGCAATTGAGATGGGCAGCTGGACCCGTTGGGGGAACTCAGCTTGTGTAGCTAATTCTTGCATGTGATCGCACAAGGGTAAGAGAGGGGCTTTGCTTTGCAGTCCCAGTAGCAAGTATTGGTCTGCCATGTCACTGTCTCTGGTGCAGTCAGACTTTTCAGAAACCAGAATGTCTGCCAAATGTTCGTTTCTGGTTTGATTCTGTGAAGGCAATAGGATCAGATTTAGGATTCTTGAATTTGGCTGTCTACATGTGAGGCCAGTATTTAAAATTCACCTGTCGTCTGTGGAGCTCCAGTAAATCCAGTCTGGCAGCTAACCTGGTGGTTAATCTGCCAGGGCTGCCAGATCCAACAGGAGTGCTGTATCTGTCTGGAGCTAGCAATGGGGAAGGAATACCCCTTGGCACTGTGGTGACACCAAATGCCTGTGTTAGGCAACTGATGCACAACAAGCACATATGTGAGACACCTAATGCATAGACAGCTAAATTTACATGTCTTACTCAGTACAAACAGCAGAAGCTCTCTAATCAGGCAGTGGGCTTCTAGGTATGGGGAATATACAAAATAGGTAAATTGGGTAAAAAGCTATTTGACTATACATTTTTTTGCTTCAGCTGATTAGTGGCCGTAGAATGGACCTTTAAACATAGCAGCAATCTGGATTGCAGTTAGAGAGATTTCATGAAGACTGGGGCAATTCAACTGAATACAGTAATTAAATTCTGTAGTCATCCTTAGGATATTTGCTTTTTATCAGCAGTTATCACACAATCCACCCAAAATAATTACTTTTTTTTCTTTAATGCTTAAACTGGAAGCCTTTTTTGTTCACACCTGGTCAGTGTTGTCCTATTCATTGTGTCTGTTGTAGCTAACATGAATAGTAGATACTGTTAACAATTTTCTGAAAAAAATTACCTCTTGTTTTCAGTTAAAATTACTGCAAAACACAGCTACATTTGCTTACCCCTCAGGTGCTTTTAAAATGATGTTGTTTTTCATCTGTTTCCACACAACCTATGGTCTCTCCAAATAGTTTTGTTGCTAAAGGTTATAATTTGCAGGTAGCAATTAGACAAGCTGCAAGTGGTACATCCTGTGTGAAAGCTCAGTGGTACAATAGTGTCTGTCTGAACATTTTGAAGGCAAATGTGATGCTTTACACTGAGTATATGAACATTTTCAAATTCCGACAAGGTTCTGCTAACCAGCTTTCTTTTTACACACTGATTTGAGAAGAATGAGGCTCATTTGCAAGGGAAGTGGGATGCAAATTTTCTTTCCTGGTTTTGTCATTTATGATCTTCATGGAAATTAACTTTAATATTAAAATTACTGAGAAGATAACCTTTTTTGTTCCACAGCTTTTGAGATCCTCTTGTTAGTGTTCTGAGTGTGAGTCTTTTTTAGAAGTGTGCTAAACTACAGCATGTGCCAACAACACACTAAGATATTTCACTAGCACCATATATCAACAGGAACTCAAACTCTAGCTGCTTCCACAAGGCAGGGTTATGTAAACTATAGGCAAGTGGTACCATGGCCCATAGTGATGCTTTTAAATAATTTCTGCTGCAGTGTGCAGTGTCACATGACATCAGTTGTGATTTCCATGAACAGATTTCACTGTTTCCCAGAACACTCAACAAATAGTTTCCCAAAAAATGATCTTCAGAGCTTTTTTCCCCAAGGTTTGTATGTAAAATTAAGCTTTATACATAGTTAATACTATACTGGGAAAAAGTAATTTTTTCAATGGCTGTGCTTAACTTGCACACTAATTTTATCCTTCCCTTCTTAAACATTTATCCAGCCATTGTAAAATCTTTCTCTGTTAGTAAGAATTGTATAATGTGTGGCATCCAAAACCTTTTTCTTTTTTTCTGGTGAATATGCTAGCTTTTCCACCTTTCCTCATGAAAAATGTGGCATGGAAAATACAGCTTTAATTACATTTTATTATCTCAGAGGTATACTTTAGGAACCCAGAAAACACTGGGACTGTTTAGAATATGAAATTAGAGAAATTACTGGTTTGAGTGTATATATCATTGTGCTACCATATGCTTTTCTTCAGCATTTGTTTAAAATGCCAATGGTGTTTGCAAATGCCAAACATATTACTTATGTCAATTAAGACATAGATTTTATTTAAAACACTCAGGCTTCCCTTTAAAACAGTTTCCACTTGCTTCTACAGATTTTTACTCAATCTTTGAGGATAAATTTACCTCCTGGGGCTATCAGATTGCAGGATACTTGGACCATAGATCTCTCCTTCGTAAAACTGCATGCATTCTCTTATTTGGGCAGTGGTTTTCCTCCTGACAGTTAGTTTATCCATTAGGGTGCCCCAATGATACTTTTTATAGTATCCATGAAAGCATTTCTAAATTATTTACATCACTACAGTGAAGGGATGATTTGCAACTTGATTCTTTATATTCCATACCAGAAACATCAGAACATAATGATTTTTTTTTAAGCCATAACTTTACACAGATCAAACTCTGGAGATGCCTTGTTTGTGGTCTGAACTTTAATTTTAAATGTCTGTGTAATTATGCCAAATTATAACTTTTCTGCAAAACTGTACATAATTAAAGATAATGAAAAATATCTTGCTTTGAAATGTAATCTTTGTGGT